AAACTCAAACTCATTAAAACGTATCAATATCACTTTACTGTAGGCTGTCTGTATAAGGCAGAAATTAGAATCACTTGACAATGTAGAATATATATATATATATATATATATATATATATATATATATATATATATATATATATATATATATTTCAATTGTTAAAGAACTGCCATGTATGAAACAATGATAAACCATTTTCTGATGCATAACTTTTCTTCAGTTTCCGTCTTTTCTTTTGAACAAAGAAGTTATTGTTCTCTGCATTGTGGTCAAGTTTTGATTTCATTTAAATAAAAAAACAATTGTTGTTTTTCGCAGTTTTTATTTTATAGTCTGTAGGTGGTAGGTGATTTATTTTTCGTCCTGTCCTAATGCAATGCGCATGCGCTCTCGTGTAGTGTATGTAAAATCTCTGGTCATACGCGATGTTTTTGAGCTGTACTGTGTTGAAATTCTGCAAAATAACATGAAACACAACTAGTTACTCTCCCTTTGCTTTTAACTGGAGTATTTAGCAGCGAACAGACAGACATTAAATGTAGCGGTGCTCGTTTTAAAGGCTGGCCGTTCACAAAAGCCTCGAGCTCCGAGGGGAGAGAAGCAAAGCAAAAGCATTGTGGCTCCAGCATAGCAGAACAGTTCAGAAACAATTTGGAATGGAGGGAAAATAGCTATATTTATAAACAGATTAAGTCGTGTTTTAGACTGCCTATTGATAGCGGATTTTCTTTGTGTGCTTGTGAGTTTTTGCAGCCGTAACTGGTTCTGGATGACGGCTTCATAGCAGAGAGCCTTTTCCCGGTACTGTGTACCGGCGCAGAATCTTTTAGTGGTACACAATACCGGACCGTACCGGCTCACTTTCACCCCTGGATATGAGCATAAAACAGATGACCAGCTGATTCTGTGGAAGGTTGTTCTTACTGAGTTGCCATAGGAAGTACAGTCTCTGCTGGGCCTTCTTACAAAAAGTTTCTATGTGTGAGGACCACTTTAGGTCTCGACTAAGGGTAGTTCCTAGGGTTAGGGTTCCTAGGAACCGGAGGTGATCCACAGTAGATTCAGAGTTGTGTTGTTCAGAGGTCCATTGTCATCTCCACTCTCTTTAGTGGGTTTAGCTGCAGGTGGTTCTGAGTCTAGTGGACCAACCAATCAACTTCCTGCCTTGAAGGCATGTTATTTTGAGAACAAAGTGTAAGATAACCCCTTGAGGTTTAAGAGGTGAAAAGTGTTCTGATTCAAAAAATATCACTATCATTTCATATCTTAATTGATATAACTAAACAGAACCTAAAAAAAATCAATTGGAGCAATTCAAATTTTGACCAAAAGCAATAATGTATTTCAATGTCATTTTATGTGATACACCAACAGAGAGTAGTGTGTTATTGTTAAGTAGGAGGAAAATGAGACAGGTTCTTCAACATTAAAACTACAGATCTGAAATGTATGGCGTGCATTTGTTTTCCTCCTGTTAGTCAACACTTTGCAGTTACAGATACAAATCTCTTGGGGTAGGTCTTCTTTTGTATTCCTACAGCATGATGCTGCCAATAAAATACACCGTAGTTTGTGGTTGTTGTTGTTTTTATACATGCAAAACTTTAGTAGATCAGGTTCTAACACAGGGCTGCACAGTGGCGCAGTTGGTAGCACTGTTGCCTTCCAACAAGAAGGTCCTGGGTTCGATTCCTGGCAGGTCTTTCTGCATGGAGTTTGCATGTTCTCCCTGTGCATGCATGTGTTCTCACTGGGTACTCTGGCTTCCTCCCACAGTCCAAAGACATGCATGTTAGGTTAATTGGTCACTCTAAATTGCCCTCAGGTGTGTGCATGGTTGTTTGTGTGTTGCCCTGCGATGGACTGGTGACCTGTCCAGGGTGTACCCTGCCTCTCACCCATAGACTGCTGGAGATAGGCATCAGCTCCCCCGCAACCCATTATGGAATAAGCGGTAGAAAATGACTGACTGACTGAGGTTCTAACACAGATAAAGGTTGTGGCAGAACATACTGCTATTAGCTGGGGCAGAAAACAGTTCTTGCATTGTGAGCCTTTTTCATCTCCATCCATCTTAATTTTGGACATGTGTGAGCCCTCTTCATCCTTTCATCTCCATCCATCTTAATTTTGGACATGGAGCCACTTGCAATATCTTTCTCTCTCTCACACACACACTCACACACGCACACACACACCCCTCTGTTGCACATATGTTTGCAATAGTGCCACATGATTGTATCCAATGGAGAACAGGTGACCTGTAATCTTTATTCCTCAGAGACAGCTTTAAAGAAGGCCAGCCAAACTTTTGGGAGCAGGGTCAGCACACCGTCATCAGCCTGGAAAGAGTCACTCCCGCTGTACCTGGTGGTGTGTCAAATCACTTTCACGCAGCTTGTTTAGAGGTGTGGCGGATGATAGGAGACCTCTTTGAGCCACGCTCCCCAGCTTGCATTCATAACGATAGGTGCTGACACCTTGTAGGTATTCTGGCATTTCACCTATATGAGAACATCAACTCAACTTCCTGCTGTGATTTGAGTTGATCCCTAAACATATTTTTATTACCTTCCACAGCCACACATATGTTTCTGTTGCTTTTGTGCAGTAACTTCAAAAGGTTTTGGATCTGTGGTTTGTTGTTATGCTGGTGTCTGTCTAGGCTGGCTGTATGAATTTACGATGATGTTTACTTGAAATCAAACTGCTAGTGGTCTAAGATTATGGAAAGCCCTGAAGCCACCGGATAGATGCAGTCAGTGTGGAACAGCATGGTCATAATTATTGCGCCCTAGGCTTTTTTGCCCTTTAACTTTTCCACAAATTGTAACATTACAACCACAAGCTTCAGTGTATTTCATTATATGACAGACAAAAAAAGTAGCACATACAGTATGTGTTCATCAACAGCAGAGCTGGGCTGTGCTGAGCACTGCTTAGCTTGCAACCATGTTGTCAATGTTAAACTAATTCCAAATTTAGTGCAGCTCTTTTTGATTGGAGATCATACGGGCACCTCAAATTACAAACAAACCAATCCATGTCCAAAAAGACCAAGAAAGTGATGACATTTAAATGTCATAATGGACTTTTACTCGGTGATGCCCGGAGCAGGCGTTGCTGCCCGGAGCAGGCGTTGCTGCGGCAGTGGAGGAACACTACAAGGGCATGTCTCGGGGGCTGTGACGTAAGCCTGTACCAAGCTGCACCGTTTGAACCAATAGGAAAATTCAACTGCAGTGACCACCGTCCAACCCAAAGAGGGCAGCACTAAAATGGTTTTAGGACAAATGTAAAAATAATTGCACACTAACATAAAGATGGCACCCTTAATCCTTGTATGGTATTCGGGTCAAATTGACCCATTTCAAATTTATACAAGAGGAAAAATAGTACATATATGCATTTTTTCTCAATGGTCTTAGCTTATTTTCTGTGATAAACATGTACAAACAAAAGAATATATATATTTAGCACACATGCTACTATACCACACGCATTTACATCCTTCATATGGTCTTCATACACAGAGACACACAGAAACATGCCCACACAGATACAAACACAAACACACACACAACACACACACACATACAGTGTCCACACCATGTTGGTGTTCCATCAGGTATTGATTCACACAAGGTCAGATAGACATGTGCACACCTGTAATGACCCACGCACATACACATACACATGCGCACACAGACACTGTGCTATGTGAATGCACAAAAGAGATCTTCCTCTGTCTACTGCATTTAAAAACTCTAGCCACAAATGAAGTTTTGACTCTGCTCTTATTCACATTCAGGAGGAAGCAAACCACTGAAGTTCTGTTTTTATTTGAAATAGATAGTGATTGCTGTTTTATGTGAAATTTGTGCCAAAGTGTATTTCAGCCTTGTGGCCAAAAACCTGCTGTGTCAACCCTTCCAGAAACCAGTCTCTCCTTCTCTCCCAAATGAGAAGGTTTTCTCTTAAAGAAACAAAAAATTATTTGCTGCAAAAGTTTTTCAGCTTCCTTGTTTTTGCTCTTCGATCTTCGAATCAAGCTTCGTTTTCGTTTTTTTTTTTTTTTCCCTCAGGCTGTGTGCCATACCTGTCGCCACTCTCGGGCCTGAATGGCTTCTTTCATGGGCCAAGTGTGCTGACCGGGGAGACTCTTAAACGGGATTTAACTTTTTTATTATACTTTACTTTCTTTAATTTGCTTTTCTTTCATAAAAAAATTAAATGATATACTGCACCTTGTAAAGTATTCATAGCCCTTGAACTGTTTTTTTTTCTATTTTGTGACATTAGAACTAGGAACACAGATGAATGTTATTGGGATTTTATGGGACAAATCAATACATGGTATTGGCCATTTGCACTTTACTTCACTGTAGTTGTGAATTGAGGTGAATATGACACGATTCTGAATTTGTATTCAGCCCCCAATAATGTGACATCCCAGCTTCTTTCAAAAGTCTCATAATTATTAAACAGAGTCCACATGTTTAATTTATTCTCAGTAGAAATCCAGCTGTTATTTGATGGCCTCCTAGGATTGTTTGTGAACATTAGTTAACAATCACAAAAATGGAGACCAAAGAAGACACTGGACATGGTAACTTTTGGTAGAGCATTTCACTATTTTTAGAAAAACACCAAATTGAAGACAAACACCAGTTAGGTTTTCCAAGAACCCCTCAACAGAAACGTCATTACAAGAAGGTTTCAGGTGACAGCATAATGGCAGGTCAAAATACATTTGTAGTCTCATTGGATCTTTCAGCCACTTTTAAAACTATTATATGATTCTGATTATTAGGCTTTGAGATTGAGCTTTCAGGAGTGGTTTTAAAATAGTTCTTCTCATGCTTATATCTCTTACATTTAGCGTTTTCACAAATCAGTTTCTGTCTGATTTGACACATCTGAGCTGAGTTGTACCTCATGGTTTTGACTTGGACTCAATACTTCCTCTTTTATATTTGTTATTTTTAAGACAGATCATAAGTTCAATGGTAACTCTAGAGAAGCTGCAGAGATCCACAGCTCGGGGGCGAAAGAGCTATTTATTGTAAATTCTACAAATCAAGCCTTTATGAAAGAGTGGCAGAAATAAGACTATTGTAAAGACCCCATAGGACGTCCAATTTGCAGTTTGCAACAAGCAGGAGACACCCCAAACATGAGGAACAAGGTGCTTTGGTCAGATAAGACCACAATTGAACTTATTGGCCTGTCAGTAATACACTATAGGTGGTAGAACCATAACACTTAACATCAACCTGAACAAAATCACCACTGTGAAATGTGGTGGTGTCAGCAATATGTTGTGGGATTGCATTAATTGGAATAATTGAAGATGAATGCAGCTAAAAACAAGGATAAAACATGAAGAGAACTTGTTGAAAAACATGTTACTGATGTGGAGGTTCAACTTTAAGTAGGACATTAATTCTAAACATACAATCATAGAGATTGTATGTTTAGAGTTACGTTTACAGATGTTCATCCAATATCATGGCATCTGAGCTATACTGCAAACAGGAATCTCCCTGTCTGTGCAAAGCTTGCAGGTGTTATTGCAGAGAAAGGTGAATATACAAGGTCCTGACTCAGAAGGCTGAACAGAAATGATGATCCAACTTTTCAGATTATTATTTGTAACAAAAAACAAAACAAAAAAAAAACTGAAAACATCCACCATTTTACTTTAATTTCCGGCCGTCCCCTATGCACTACTTTGTGTTGGTTTATCACATAAAATCCAAATACAATACATTGGCAGTGTGATACAACATGACATAATGTGAAAATGCTCACGGGGTTCGAAGACTGTATAATTGAAAATATTAGAATATTTGAAGTTTGCAGGTCTTCTTTTTAAAACATTCACACACTGCCTAATTTAAAATATTCCACACGTCTGTTGTGCACAAACTTGCAGACAGACATTGCATCCCTTTTCCTCTCATCCAACGCTCCTTCCTCCTCTCCATTTTGGAGAGAATTATGTAGAATTATGGCTCTGGTCTGTGGCCAGGGTTGAAAAAAAAAGGGCATAGCATCCCTCCTCTCGGCCAGGTTTGGATTTCAAACACATGCCATCTTGGTCCAGTTGTAAGGAACGGCTGCAGTTGGACCACCTTGGACCCCATCTAAAAGCCTTGTCTGTTTACCAAACGGGGTTGGTGTGTGTGCATTTCGTGGGTGGTGCCCTCACCACTTCACTTTATATTTAATTTGGTTTTTGATGCTGTGTGCTATATCAGGAATGGCGATCTCTACTGAGGGGTGTACTCGTGCTCTCTGACTCTTTTTTTTTTTTACCTTCCCGACACACGGGGGTGACATGCGGAGCCTGACCATGCAGAGGTTTGCGGTGGGAATTGAAATGCGTCGCAAGAGGGCAGAAAACAGACACCGTTTTTGTCTTAAAAAGCTGCATCAAGGCAGAGGAGTAGGAGACCTGGGAACATGGTGATGGGGGTGGGTTCTTCTCCTAGGTGGCCTGCAGATGGAATCGTAGTGGTTAGTTGATTTGTTGTGCCAAATGTTAGTTGAAGTTTGCTGAAGGTGGAAGCAAAATTATTGCAATTTTTCATTGGGAAACACCAGTAATTGGTCGCAGCCATGTTGCCAAATATCACAGAGGTTCCTTTAGATCAAGGGCTGGTGTGACTGTCCTCTTTGGAGTCCATAATTATGCAAAATCTCAGT